GTGTGTCTGGTGTGTGCACTCCGTATGCCGTGTGTCTGGTGTGTGCACTCCGTATGCCATGTGCAGTGTATCTTCACACTCCGCTGGCCCCTTTTCCTCAGCCCTGTGGCGCTCTCTGCTGCCCCTGTAGGTGGAGGAGGAGCGGCTGGACAGGGAGAGGGAGGAGGACATCCTCATGAGGGGCTCTGACTGGGTGGCTGATTGGTCGAGTCGACCTGAAAACATCCCCCCTAAGTGAGTACCCCAAGTGATCTTTAACCTTTTGACTTTTGACCATTGTGCCCTAGGTCTAAGTGACCTTTAACCTCTCACCTGGCAGCATAGCTCCCTGTACCATATAGTTTTCAGAATCATTTTGTAGCATTTTGAACCTTTAGCCCCTGCCGCCCTTATGACACAGGGAGTTCCATTTCCGCCACCCGCGGCGCACGCTGACCCTCAGTATGAGGAAGACAGGAGCCATGAAGAAAGGGGGTGTGTTCTCCGCCGAGTTCCTCAAGGTCTTCATCCCCTCACTGCTCCTGTCGCACATCCTGGTGCTGGGGCTTGGGTAAGTGTCTGCTGCTGGCATGCACTTCCATATCTGTCCAGCAGAGGGCAAGATTGGACCTCCGCTCATGGGACAGCCGGGCAGCTCCCCGCCCAGCAGCTGCCTGGTTGTGATTGGCTCGTTCTCGCTCGGCTGCCCGAGTCTGGTGGCTCTCTGAAGCCGCCTGCCCACGTTCCCCAGAGTCCTGCACTGCTCATGTCTCTCTGGTTTTTGGTGCGGCTGTCGCAGTGTTAATTTTGATGCCCATTTTAAATTTACTTTTAGTCCCAGTCAAATGACTAAAATACATTTTAATTTTAGTCACATTTTAGTCAAAAAATTATGAAAATGATCACAATGGTCATTTTGTCTGAAATTCATTTTAATCTGATTTTAGTTGTTATTAACAATTATGGGTCATTCTACGTTACTTTTTTCACGAAAAACATTTCTGACAACATTGGACACTACTGAGGATTAGCCAAACATTAGTAGCCTTCTTTGAACAGTTTTAGTAGTGATAGTCACAGTCAGAGCGGTCAGTAGACACTAGTCTGTCTGTCTCTAAATGGCTCAGACCTGAGTCTCGTGACCCTGGGGGGAGACGTTACCACATGTCACATCCTGAGGCTGCTGCCTCATTATCGGGGGCTTTATTCATCACACAAGAGGAACCGTGACGTTTATGCTAAATACACACGGGAGACACAAAAAGCTAATACTGCTGTAAGTCCTACCCAGTAGTTCTTGGTTGAGTAAAATACCTGCTGACATGAACACAGTATGCTAAGGGAAATGCAGTCTACATTTTTATCAGAAAAGGATCCAGTGGTAACAAAGACTAGCTTTTATTTTCATTTTATGTGTACTCAGTGACCAAAAAAGTTAAACGCCCAGGCAGAGTGGTGGAAATGAATCTGCACATGGTGAAAGGTCAAGTGATTGTGTCGCAATGATTATAATATCAGATCAAACGGACCGCCCCCCCCACCCCTTCCCCCCCCCCCCCCCCCCCCCCCCTCCGCCAGGGCCTGGATACATGCGGCGATACAGTGCAGAAGGGAATCGTACAGCTGTTGTATCCTCTCCTGCGGCCCACAGCTGTTGTAACTGGCCCTGGAGATCCTGCAGATTGCCACTGGGTCTGAGTTGATGTCCAGGCTGATTCCATGCATGTTTGATTGGGGAAAGATCAGGTGACCTACTGGCCACAGGAGGACCTCAAGCTGGCGCAGGCAGTCCATAGACACACATGCCGTGTGTGAGCAGGCACTGTCTTGTTGAAAGACTGTACCAGGGTGCTGTCTCAGGAGGGGTAAGACATGCGAACGCAGGATGTCACTGAGGTAGCACTGTGCCGTTGGACTCCCCGAATCACTACCAGAGATGACCTGAAGTCATACCCTATGGCTCCCCACACCATGATGTCATACCCT